CAAACATGTCCGGCCTGAATGTTGTATCCTAAGAAAACACCTCTCTTGGCATTGGGGGCAAACTTTCCTCTCTTTGGTTCGTACTTACCTTCCCAAAAGAAAAGGAGACATCCAAAAGGGAGTTGCCTACCAAGAAATCCGTTGTCAAAACGAAGTGCCCATGGTGGATCACCACCATTCAATTGTTTTACAATGTTTATGGCCATCGCATGATGTTTGGAGGCATAAGGCCACAAAGAAAGAGGCATGTTGGCCTGGAGGAGGTTGGAGCGCGCCCCTTCCAAAATGGTGCGAACTTCACGCTCAACAACCGCTTTGGTGGAATGTTGATATTCAACAGAAGTCTGGTGTTTGAAACCAAGTTCTTCTATGGCATCCAGCATTTCTGGAGCATTGTCGGTGTACACTATACCAACAACATCAGAAGTCTTCAGAAAATGTTTGAAAGCCTTAACAATAGAATCGGCAGTCTTGTTTTCAGAAGGGTAAACACATCTGTATTGAGTATAAATATCTTTGATCACCAACATTGACGTTTGGCCTTCTATGCCTTCTTCAATATCTTTGGGAATAACATGGTCGCACACTATGTGGTCGCCAAACCCACGCGCCAAAACATGTTGTGATCCGCCTACGCTTCTACCGTAGGGAGCAAGCATTTTAGCTTCGCTACAAACATCGCAGTAGGGATTCTTTGGTCGATGTGTGAATTGATGCGCCCCTGATTTTGCTTCCTTTCGAAGTTGCTCTTCGGTCTTCTCCCCTGCCACGGGAACGTCTTCAAAATCAAAAGGAACCTCAACTTCTGGGTCACTGTCCTCTTCGTCCTCCTGTCCATCATCGGCATTGGCATCTACGCCAGCTTCGTCAGCCTCCTCTTGGTCTTCCTCGGGTTCGGACTCATGGCTGGCCATGGCGTAGCCCTGGTCGATGGTGAACTGGTGGATGGAATCGAGTACCTTAGTAAGGCGAGTCCTCAGTGATTCAGGAATTGAGAATGGGGTACATGTTTCATCAATATATGGAACCCTACCTTGCAATTTGAATTTAACGCATTGTCCATCAGGTCGAAGAAATATGGGAGTAGTGTCCTTTCCCCAAACAAAATCATATCCCTGTTCTAAGCACCTCAAACCAATTGAAAGTGCAGAGGGAGTACTTTGGAGAATGTAGGGGTTGAAGGATTCACATAACCCTGGCAAGATCACCTCTACTACTTCGTCAGCAGTGATAGGTCCATTGGCAGTAGTAAGGGAGATTGGCTCGTTGGATTTGAATATCTTGGTGGCCCTGTTGACTGTCTTAGAGTCCTTACCTACGATGTCCTGGTCAGTGCCAGTGTCACCCAGCCACTTCTCCATACCAACCATATTTGGCATCGCTGTTAAGCGAGCACATGACGGCACCTGTTCTCCGACGACTGTTCTGCACTTCGTGCAGCACAAATCATCGGGGCCTTCTGGGGAATGTTCACAAAGGAAATCACACGCAGGCTCCTCGGTATCCATCGAAACGAGCATCTGCCTAAGTGACTCCGCTGCCAAAATGGCGTCCTTAGTGTCACACTCGCGGGACTTTGGGCATTCCTCAGTGGTCCGGAACAGGTTCCGCTTCTTGCTCTTATTCACTACATGCCGGTACATTTCCTTCCAAACAGGAAAGGTGTGTACCTCCGGTTCTAATTCAAAACGAATTCTCTTCTCTTGCACAACACGGAAAATTGACTTTCCAGTCCAATCAAATTTCTGTTTCGCGTTTGGGTGTTTCTTCCAATTACCCTTGATTGTCCTACTCTTTCCCTTTGAGTCAGTGACTACCATGGTAAACTGGTCTTCCAACCTAGATGACTCAACTGGACAGGATTTACGTGTTGGGAGAAACGACCTGTGCCTAGGCTTCAAATGGTGCCTAATCAACTCATTGCCATCTTTGGAGAATTCCCAGTAGTCTTTACTCTTTTGGGTCCGAGTTGCGGTTACTGCTAAGCAAGACATTGCGAAACCTGTTTGAATACATGGACTGGCCTTTGGACTTTTGTCCTTCTTTTCCCGTTTGCTCTTTTTGTCCTTTTTGTCCTTCTTGGATTTCTTGTCCTTAGACCTTTTAGCTGCGGGCGAGGGACTCCTTCTGCGCGGGGCTGGTGTTGCAGTGTCTCCGTGTTTAAACGGGCATTTGTCACCCCTTTTGCAGTTACCCTTTGCAAAGAACCTGCATGGCTTGTCAGATTTCCTCCCTCTACTTGAGCTTCTTGATGAGTTCCTTGAACTGGAGCGGGAAGTGTGTCTTGACGAACTTCGAGATCGGCTTGACCTGAACGATGAACGGCTGCTCGGACTTGCGCTACGCGAACGAGACGACTCCCGACTAAGGGAGCGGGGACGGGCGCTAGAGTCGTGTGAGTACTTGCATTTGCTCCCATACTTACACTTACCAGTTTTGGCATACTCATAGCATTGATTGCTTCCGTCACCCTTTGTGCTTCGTTTGCCATAACTTGGGCTTCGCGTGCGCTTGTCGTGCGGTGCCGGGTTTGCGAACTTTGCCGCGTGTGATTGTGATATCTTTTCGCGATTGGTCCTGAGCCTTTCCCTGTCAAGGTAACGTCGAACAGAATTGATAAGAAATTCATAGCTTCTGTCGTTACTTCCCTCCGGCGCTCGTTCATAAACATCAAGGTCAAATCTGAGCTTGCGGGACTTCCTAACCTCTCTATAAAACAAATCCTTGAGAGTTGCCGGGTCTGGGACATGACTCATTCCGGTCAGAACACTCTCCCATTTCCTTAGAAAGGATTTCAAGTCGTCGCTATCAAGCGAGATCTTGAGGAGGTCCTCAGTGCCATACAGTGCACCCGCTTCTTCACTTGTCTTGAAGTGGACTTCAAACATGAGCAAAACCTGACGACCGCGGACGATCCTACCTTGCTGTGCCTCGGATTCCTTATAATTCAGGATTTGCTGAGACAGTTCACCTTTGGCAACCTTGGTTAAAGCAGCAAGTAGTTTCGTGTCTAAGGTCCGAAACTTGCCTGGGTCAGCCAATTCGGAACAAAGCTTTGCTTTGTCTTCGCGAACGGCATACACCTCAAGCACCCATGCGAACGCAGCGTCTGGGTCATCGGATGCGGACCGAATCGCTTCGCGAACCGCGGCCCTCCAAGTGCGGTACCTGTCAGGACTTGGGAATTCAGGGAGATCTATCTTGTCAGCCTCCTTTGCCTTGGGCTTATCGGAGTCTTTGCTTTTAGCGCCCTTAAACCCTTCTAGCAAGGCCTTCTTGATGATTTCCCCCAAATCTTGGTCTTGTGGAGTTCTTACCTGAGAAGCCGGCCCTTCTTCTCTGCGATCATCCTTAGTCTTTGTTGCTTCCTGATTAAAGGAGCTTTTGTACAAAGGATCATCACTGAAGTTGTATTGTGTTGACTTCTTCATATACTCCGTCCACGGATCCGGTTGTTTGAATTGTTGCCTGTCTGTAGAGGCCGTTGCCTGTTCCGCTGCGGGCGCCCCCGTCCCTAAGAACATTGATGGGAATCCTGTGTTGCGCACGGACGCTGTTGCATCCATAGCTGTCTTTATAGGAGATCCACCTTTATCAAGGGGCTTACCGTCTAAGGTTGCTGGAACAGTGCCTTCCGTGCGTAGAGGTTCAAAAGATTGCGGTTGACCAATTGGGTGAGCATCTTGTCGAGCAGGAGGTGTGAATGGCTCAGGGTATTGCGGCCCTGGCTTAACGGGGCTAGAGGATTGCGCTTTGCGCTCCGCTTCCTTGCGTTCCTCTTCCCTGTCTGTCAAGGACTGTACGACACGCCTGAGCTCATCCATTTCACCCTTCAACATTGCATTGTCCTTGCGAAGCTCAACTATAGTTTGCTCTTGTGTTTCCCGATCAACTCTATGTTGCTTATTTGTAGCCTCCATTTCATTAACGAGGGTTTTGATCTTTGCCTGTGCAATTGCCAACGAACTGTCCAGTTGTTCTCGCTTGAAGTCAAGTTCTATAGCGATCCGGGATTCTCCAGCAGACGAATGTCTTGCATGATCCTTTGCCTCTACGGCTGCCTTCAGCTTAGCCTCCTGTTGCTCAACATACTGGTGATGTTCAGTTCTCATTTTGTCAACAAAAGCATTGCCTTCTTCCGCCATGGCATTCTTTTCCTGTACAACTTTCTCATGAGCTGCTGTCGCCTGAGCTAGCCGCTGCTGAAAATGTTCCCTTTGCTCCTCCAATGTACCTTGCAACCGTTTGATTGCAACATTGTCTTGCTGTTGGACCATTTGCTGAACACTTTGTTCCTGCTGTTGGGCCCTTTGTTGAACATTCAACATTGCCTGCTCTGCGGCAGCCTTTGTTGCCGCTATAGATTCGGAAGCTTCTCTTTCGTAAATACTCCTGAAGCGCAATGCCTCGATTTCAGCTTCCCTCCTGGCTTGTTCGCTGAGCAAAAACTCATGTTGTTGTAACTCCCGTCGTAGTTCTTCGTCGTTTGGCGATGCATTCAGGTTGACGACGTTGAGCCGAGTCATTGCCAACAAGTTGTTTACTGTTGGCGCACCAGCTACGGTGGCTGACGGCATACCTGCTAGGGTAGCTTGTGCCGCCTCTTGAAGAGTAACACTACCACCACTATTTAGCATCTCTTGGTACACCTCCGAAGCAACCCTTGGATCCATTGCAGCCACTTGTGCAACTGCCTGTTCATGCCGTTGAACTGCATCCAAACTATTGGGCACACTCGGAACTATGTCAAAGCCACTTCCGTAGGCATTCGGTGGGACGTCGTCATCCATTGGGTCCATAGCTCTAACCTAGCTAGCCTACGGCTGATAACCTGTATTTTACAGGATCAGCTCTAATAGTACTAACTACCTAGCTAACCCTGCTAGTCCGGTAAGCGCTACCTTTTGCTCTACCTTGAGAGTCAACGCTACGGGGTCCATGGGGATGAGGTGAATTTCAACATCTTCCTTTGCCAATTTTTGGTGCTGACCTGCCTTGACGAACTGGGACAAGTCCTTGAAAAGCAGCAACGCACTTCCCGCCAAACAGGTGAAAAGAGATGTAACCCGCAAGCAGCAAACCATCCCAAATCCTGCAGCCCATCCCTGCTTGAGGAGCTCCTTTGGCTTCTCTCGTCAGCTAACACGGGGTAATGCGAGGTGACTTCATGTTACTTCGTTATCTTAGTTACTTCCGGCATGTAATGGCGCACAGTTGTGCTATGAAGTTTACGCTCAAACGTTCTGGACTGAGGGGGGCCTCGGGTGCCGGTCCCCAAATGGAAGAACATCTGATATCATCTAAGAGGCTTTCAGTGTCTGGCAGGCCTTTCAACGGTGCCATTCTACTGGCTGGGTCGTTGCTGTTGGGCCATCTGTATCAGCCAACCAGCATGAACGCTGACTTCAAATACTTTAGGACTTTAGGACATGTAGAAAAGCTTGACTCACCATGTGTATGCCTCTCCTTGATCTCCCACGAACGCCTAGCTTGAGCCCAACAACGCCCGCACCGCTGTTCCCTTTCCACCGTGGTGCGCACAGCCCAACCTTCGCTGAGCGCTGGGAGCTCCCACAGCCCTTGACGGAGGGTGGCCTCCTGCCATTTCGACTCAGTGGTCTCCTTGGCCAAGCGCAGCACCTGGCAGGTCTCAAAGCCTCACCCTCATCCTCATCACCCCCACCACTTAGTTGGACATGGGTGGACGGTGGACCGCCTGAACTAGTATGGGATGTTGAAAGGAATATATAGTTATATATACTACACTCCTGGTACCATACTCCTTGTGGTGGATGTCGAATGGGGCACTCCTCGAAAAATCACGGGTGAATGGAGAACATGGCGAGTCAATCTGCGGGCCCTGAGCACTGCTATCGATATCTGCCATTTCCAGATTCGAGCGCCTGCCCCTTGGCCAATCTGGACACAATTTAAACACATCAGTACAACAAAGGATAAAAATAGGTATGATATAGGGCCATATGCCATATGTGTGTCTTTGGAACCCTGTAGTGTTACTGGCAAGTAAGCACAAAGCGGCGGACGCCTGCCGTTGCAAGGCGCAATGGGTTAAACGCTGACTCAAGGCCTCCTGGCACGGCACGGGGGGGCAGTTTGGGGATAGCTTGACCGCTGCACCCCCCACACGCAAGTCCGAAGAAGAGTGGTTTCGCGAGGTGACAGCCAGAAAGGCGGCCCCTCCGAACACCAATGGATCTGGCACATTTATTCTTGTCGCCATTTTCTCTACAGCATGGACTTTGGTTGGCCTCACTGGGGAAGGTTAGTTCCACGATGTTGCAAGTACATTGGCAAACCAAACGCCTCCAGATTGAGCATCATCAATATCACAGGCAAAAGGACCTGATACGGATGACACAAGCATGAAGCATCAACCCCCGGTCTCCTGCTCCAAGGCTGCGCATAAGTCCTGCAAACGCACCAGCTGCTGAGCAGAAGAGCCTCAGCGGTTCGTCGATCACTAATGGGTCAAGGCCATAGACAGCGCAAGCTCCATATGAGAGTGCAAAAGTCCAGTTTGAGGCCTCGCAGGGCTACCAGGAGACTCCCAGCACACTCCTTACCAGTGCCGCGTGCCCCTTCCCAGCGATTCCAAACATGGGGTCACCAATTGGTCGACCACTCTGGCACAAAATGGATGTCAACGGTGACCTGCAAGGGGATGGAGCTCTAATTTTGACATTCACGCTTGTCTATGAGTCTATCAAGTCGAATCATCCAATATCACCAACAATCCGCCAAAGGGATTTGAAATGGTTCATCCAAAATCATCCAAATACTTTAGATCTGAGAGGCTTCATTCTGGCTCCTCCGGTTCCCAGGCTCTCCAGGGTCGCCTTCCTCTCACTTCCGGGGCCGAGCCGCGCAGCGGCTCGGAGACCTGCACAGCTGTGGATCCAGGTTCACGGTCTGTGACCGTATGTGACCTGGTAGTTCCTTTAAAACAAACAACACCCCCCCCCCCCAAGAAAAAGAACATGGTCAAACAGAAAGTCCGTGAAACACATCACAAAATGAACTCTGTGGTGAACCTTGGGCATGCATCTTGGTGATTTGGTGCATATGCTTCTTAAGATTAAAGTGTCACACCCAAACTGCAAATCTGAAAAAGAAAATGCTCAGCACATGCATTGAAACATGGTTTAGCAGTGGATCATGCTCAGCAGCGGGAGGTGATGGAGCTGTTCAACTTATTCGTTCAATTGAAAACGAAATAACGACCACTCCCATGCAAACATTGAGCCATAGCAATCCATCTGGTGCTCTGGCATGCTCTGGCTCTACTTGATCTCAGACTCTGACCATCCATGCAGCCGTCATTGGAACCACATCATGGGCTTGATCTTGTATCAGCCCAGCCCTAAAGAACTGATTTCACGGATGCAGTCTCGCTCATTGGGCCTCTCTGGTGCTGTAGCTGCGACAGCAGGATCCACAGAATCCTAATTCACTACCATCGGTGCTCTATAGAATGCAACTCTGGAGAGTATGTTTCACCACGGTTGACTGAATATTGATGGCCAACAGAAACTCCAGTGCCAAGATTTCTATATGGCCCGTTCGCGGTGCCTCAAGCCAAATCAAGCGAGCGAGTTCGCCAACTGTCCATGCTTGCAGCTGACAAAAAATGGCGAATCGAACCAGTGAATAACTACGGGATATTCCAAGGGTTGCCCCACTCGTGCAGAAGCGCCCCCTTGTATATAGTTTAGCGCTCCCTAGACCTCATTGATATTTCATCGTTTGTCCTTGACATTCCTCCATATTAATAATATACTTTCCTGGGGTAATGCTGCCCATACCCTCTTATTACCTTACTTCTCCAAGGGTTTCCTTCTCTTATTTTGCTGTTGCCCGGGCACTATGGCACTTAACGCTTAAGGGTTGGCAAAAGGGTCCAGGATGGAGAAACAAAGATGCGACGGTGCATGGAATGAGCCAGATTATATATAAACAAACCTGGCTGCAGCAGGGCCACCAACACACACGCCATTGTATCCGAGATACTCTGAGATTAAGTCACTGGCACGCTCAAGGGTTCTTCCTTGAGCACCTCTGAGGCCTTGACCTGACTCTCAAACGCCACTTTGGGCATTACTTCTGGTGCAAATGTCGCCCCTCAGCGCCTTTCTGGAAGGGCTTTTTGGTTCCGTTTCATGCCTGGACCATTGGACTGTCGTTGGACTCTGGACAAGCAGCAATCAACGATCATGGTTAAATTATGCCTCTTTTGTAGTCCATCCAAACCTGCTGTTGCACCATGTGCTACCTCTAGACTCTACATAGAGCCTAGCTATGCACTCTCCAGCACCTGTTGGAGCCCTTCGGGCACAGTGACTCCGCCTTGCGCATCTCAGTCCACACTGATGCTTCGCAGTTGCAATTGTGGTGCCTTGCCGGGGAGATCTAAGCAACTTGGCCAAAATTGCATAGTTTTGGTTTTGATGTGCTTGTTGGAGCCCCAAATGCCAAACCATTGCCAATGGGATGAATGGCCCGTGTTCCATCAATGACCTTTTATATAGTGCATTTGCTCTTGCCAAGAAAATCTCCATTTTTGGGGGTAGGGCGTAACCCAGGCTCGTCCTACTTTAAAACACATTGATGAGGTTCGTGTACCAAGATGCGCTTGTCATCAGTTGTGTAAAAATCAAGTGCAGCTATCACTGCTGAACATGCCAAACAACAGTGCACCATGCTACAACATCTAGCACACATCACGGGCACGTCATGGTGCCCTTCCCAACCAGATGCAGTAACACCAGATGCAGGAGACCAACGGACGCGTTCGCAGTCCACCATGTGGGACGTTGAGTTGATAGAACATTGCAAGTGAACTTTCAATTAACTCAAGACATGTAGAGGTGATTGCAGGTGGGTGCCAACTTGTAGAGTTGCCCTTGGACTCAACCGCGCTGCATGATTCCCCACTACGCAGGATCAGGAATGGCCACCTCTAAGTGTCTCCAAAGCCCGGCCTCTGGATAGGAGTCACCGCTCGTCTCCGATGGGCGAGCTACAGCACCAGCCTTGGCCTTAACCTCCAGGCGCCGTGCCACACCATGGAGGTCCTGCTCTCGTGCACACTCCAGGCCTCAGTGCTCTCTGAAATACAGAAGAAAATCAGTGGGGAGTCAGAGTGTGCAAAATGATTGTGACCAGAGTATTCAGTGGATGACTCGGCATCTCGTGGCGGCTACAGCTCCAACACCTCATCGGAACCATGCCCCCCGTCTTTCGGTCAAGCCCTCGCTCCAAGTTCCGACCAAGCAGCACGTCCGCCCCAAATCGTCCTGCACCGCCAAGGGCTCGGCCAGGCCCAGCTCCTGGCAACGCCGCAGCAGGAGCTCGGCCACCTGAACCCATCGCTCGGCTTGCTTTCCCAACTCCCCGGGCTGTGCAGATCTCAAATGTGCGATGTTGCTGCTCAATGACTTTAACATGTAACGCAAACCATGCTGAAGAAGAGAGGTGGAAAATGATGGAATGAAATAATGCTGAAGGCTCAGACGCTCCCCTCCCTTGCTTCCAGCCTTGCACTTTCCTGTGGGCCTTTCCGTTTCACTTCCAGCCTCCTCGTGCCCTTCTCCAGCCGCACGGTGTAGGGCGGTCACACCCTTGGGCCCTCGGCCCACCGGATCTGCTCGGGCCTTCAGAAGCGCCTGACTGCAACATTTCAGCGGTGTCTAACGGCGTCTCTTCAGCTGACTGAGTTTCAGCCGTCTATAGGTCTCTTCGGTGCAGTATGACCTATCAACTAATCTTACTAGGGGATGTGAGGGGTTGGGGGACTCTCTGCAGCTCCGAACGGCTCCTGGTTCAATGGGAATATTATGGACACTGCCGGCTCCTTAGCTCCCTACTGGGAACCAGCTAGCTTGTCACTTAATCTGATATAATCTGAGCTATTTGGCACTGCCAGAGGCCACCAGCCTGACAAGTCAAGCCTCGGTTCCAAGTCACTCCAAGCTGTTAGGCACATGACGGATGCCGGCGAGGCTATACAGTAGACTACTTTCACCTACAAGTGTTGGCCCCACTGTCCCCTTTCAGTACATGACGTTTTCTGGAGGCCTGCCCCCATTCTCAGTTTGCAAGAGGGTAGGGAACTGGGGCAGGGCTAAATATAACTATACTATATTCTAGTAGTAACAAGAAGCTATTGGTAACAAGTGCATCGCTTCTAGTAACAAGTGCCTTACTAGTAGTAACAAGAAGCTATTAGTAGAAGATGCCAAGCACGCCTGAACCTCAGAACCAAGAAGATAAACCATCATGACTACCATCATGTTCACATAGTTTCCCACTACAGTAATCCAATCATCCATGATCTTCCATGATCTTCCAATCATCCATGATAATTTTGCCCTCTTCTTGTGTCATCTTGTATCTTCCCCTGCACTTCCCTCCTCCCCTTGCTCGCCTCACAGACTTCCAGGTGTCCTCGCCCGGCCGCCTCCGCCAGCGGCGCCGAGAGCACCTCTGGGGTCCAGTGGCAGCTCTGAAGCACCTTGGCACACAGTCTCAAGCGCACACGTGAGCTGAGTGGTGGGATGCGGGTCACGGTGAAGCAACCAACCATAACCATTATATGCATAACCAATATATCAACACCTCTTGTTTCTTTGCATGGAGGGTACTTGTTTGCTTGGTTCATGATTCGGTGAGCAGTAAGGGTCCATGCATCGCATGTTTTTGGCCGGTGTGGTGTCAAAATCCTTAACACTCGCCGATGTTATTGTTCCAAACAACAATTTCAAGGGGGTATAGTACACAAGACCAGGGGAAGTGATTCATACAAATTGTTTAGGGGTGGGGTTGATAATTTTAATAGGTAAACGTGCAGGCCTAGAAAGATCCCAACTTACTTTTCTAGTACTACCACCACCACCACGACTGCTACTGCTCCTGCTGCTGCTACTGCTGCTGCTACTGCTGCTACTTCTACTGCTACTTCTCTTCTGTCTCCTATTCCTCCAACTCCTACTTCTACTCCTATTACTCCTCCTGCTACTACTATTGTTACGACGACGACTACTACTACTGCTACTGCTATAGCCCCTGCTGCTGCTACTACTGCTACCTATACCTACTCCTATTCCTACTCCCTACTCCTCAATCCCAAATGCTTCTGGGCTTGACTCAATAAACCCTCCTTCGATTGTTACCAAATGCTTTTTGTGACCCGTTTGACCACTTACTGTAAGATCCGGCATTACATCCACTCACAAAAAACTCCCAATTCTGACCTCTGTGCCTGCACCCCTAAAACTCCTCACGCAAATGCCACCAAGAAACCTATCTAACATTACACTAGACTATACTCGTATATACAGTACTCATGTCTGAAGAAGTCAAGGCACGTGCTCCACTCGCTCCTGTAAACACGCTAGACAGCATCAGGAAGCACAACCTGCATGTCACGCCTGCTGCTTCAGGCCAAACATCCAACCACTACGCACTGAAAACATCTGAATACTCGGATCTGGCACGTACTTTGTGCCCAGTGATGTGCAAATATCTCCCCGATCGCGCTAGGTTAGAACCAAAAAGCACTGGAAACGCTTACAGCACCTTCTAAGCCGTCACGTGCCCTAGGACCTAGACATTGCTGGGGCGGCTCATGCAGCGCAGTATAGCGCAGTCATCCTGTTATTGTTGTCTACTGGCTTGAACCTTCATCTGGCTCTTAATCCACTCAGCACATGCTCAGCCATGGCGGTGGCTCCTGCTTTCCCCAGGTAGCTGCGTCACACAGCAACTTGCACACGCTGGTCTCATCCGAGCCGTCCCCGCTCGCTGCGCCAGGACCCGCCGCGCTCGGCAGGCGTGCAAAGTTGCGGCCGGTGGAGAGGTCGAAGCGGATCTGGCGGACGCTCGTCTCGTCTCGTCTCGGGCGCCGGGTCTCACCGCACCTCACGGGTCTTGGAAGGTCCTAACCTATGTGATCCGCCCCTTTTTCTGGAATGACTTCTTGGAAGAAACAGAAGCGGCTTAGGTGTCACACTCCAACGAACACATCACAGTTACAGTAACTGAAACTTTGCCTGCTTCCATAGTGGGAGGTGACCCCTTTTGTGGGAGAACCTCTTTTCAACTCCCCTCTGGAAAAACTGAGGACATCTGGTGATTCACGTAGTGCATGAGAATGCATGCAAGTGTCAACTTGTCACTCTGTGTGCTTATCTGTTGATCCCACCCTAACATCCACCCCACTCCGAACAACACACAGCGGTGTAAAGCGTGGTCTGCCTTCCATCGGCGCGACTAGTTCCACCACCGGCGCCTCCAGGTTGGTCGGTAGAACGTGGTGCGGCAACACCTCTTGCCACTCGTGACTGGCTTTGAAGTGGACTTTACCTCGGCTTCAAAGGCCTTTCAAGCGCCAAACGACCCGGACACCACCGGGAACGACCGAGCAAGCGAGTCACTCAAGGACCGCGTTTCAAGGGGGGGATGATCCACAAGTGATTCTGATTGGGTGCTCCTTGATAGTATAACATTGTAGAACTATGTTGTTTACAAGTAGTGACAGTAGTGTGATGTTAGCTCCTTTTAGATCCTGGGGGCTGCTCCAAATCCCAGTGATGGTATATAGGCTAGGCAGAAGATCGAAAACGCCAGCCCCCCGCACAAGGAAAATGATGTCAAATAAGATGAAGCAACATTCACGAAATTCACAACCCAATGGCAGCACATTTAGTCGTAATCCTTCCATGACCGCTGCAAGTGAGCATGGCCAAAAGACATGGACAAACAAAACAAACGCACGTCTAGTCTGTTTCCTTGGCCTAAAGAACCCTTTAAGATGTGGCCACTGAGGCCATCTCCGGGCAAACAATCATTCAGTCCATGTCCGATGTTCGCTCAGTCCATCTCGAGTGGATGAACTCCTTCGGGGGACTCCTTGGCCCGCTACACCCGGCTCCGAAGTCGCTCCCTCCTCACCGGTCGGAAGCCACCCTAGCCGCCCCAGCCGCCCGTCCGATTCTCCGGCCTGCCGGCAGCGACATCCTCGCTGGCACACCTGGCGTGCGATGTCAAGTTTCAGATCGTCCGCAAGGTCTCTATACACTCTTCCACCCACTCACTTTCCACTGGTTTGCTTCCTGTGCTAGGGATGTATATACTCGAGTTTGACCATGCTCACCTCTTCACACAGCTATGGAGGCTCCACACCTCTGACGGCTGCGGTCACGGCGATGGTTGTGGTCGCGGTAGCCGGAGCCAAAGCCCAGTAGCCCAGCAGCAGGCACGCTAAGGTCAAAAGAAAAGCCACCACAGGATCTACCTCCCACCATGGCATGGGCTTGCACAGCACTTCCCTCTTTGAACAGAAAGAGATGCGCGCAACGTAACAGACAGCCATACCCAAACATGGGGCAATCAGAATCCAAAAGGGCGCAGGAATTTAGCGGTTTGTGGTTGTACTGCTCCACGGTCCCAATCTCGCAGCAAGTCATCTGACTACCCCTTCCCCTCAAGCTGCTTAAGCATTTCCTGCTGCTTTTCAAAGGTCCTGTGGTTGTAACACGATGTCTCAGTTCCTGCGGTCACCAGGACAACAAACTTCTGAATTAGATTTAGTTATATGATACAGTAGTTATAATGTGTCTGGGAGTGGTGCCCAAAGTGGGATGTTCAGTTGTCAACAGCTTGTCGGCTCGAATTTCACTGTGACTGTGCATGAAACCACAACATTGCAACATGACTGAACATTCCAATCTCAGATGATGGGCCCAAGCACAAAACATAGCACAAAAATGCACAAAACATGTCAAAATTGTTAAATGGGCACCGGCACTAGGAAACATGTATATAAAACCAAGTGGCTGGGGACCGTGGTCGAGACAAAACCATGGCTTGAAACATGCCACTGGCACACGTGTGGGGCACCCTTGACCCTCAAGAAAACCGATATCAAACCCCAACAGTTCATTGACTTGAAGCCAAAACCTCATCAAACCCCCACAGCTCCAAACTCCTCGGCTGGCTCAGAACTCTTCAGCTGCAACGACCTGTTTTTTTCCTTCATTCGCTTTAGAGGTGCCAGGCTCCTGAAGATCAACGAAGCTCTTGACACCCTTTTGTCACTGTTCTATACTTTTGTGGCCGTACTTCAGTTTCAGTCGCGGGTGATTATACAAGAAGTTAGGCCACCTTAGACCTACTTCCCTAATTAGTTTGGTTGCATCCCCTTTGAAGGAAAAGGATTGAGTTGATCTAGTAACACTTGGTCTGATGACACGCTTCTTCTTCCACCTTTCTCATACCAAAGGACAATGAACACGCGGCCAGCCGTGGCGAAAGGAACCACCCCTTGGACCGTTTCCTGCTGCATGAGCCACGTCCGGGACTGAGCACCTGCTGCTTCATTCGAAGCCCACGAAGATGAGAGCAGTCGAGAAGACAAGAAGAGCCTGGGCGTATCCAATTGGCATTCACACTCATCATTCCAAACCAAAAGCCTGCACACACTCACACATAGTCACAGAGAACTCAAAGTTACACCAGCCTCCACAGCAGCCATAGCATGGGCCAATAAAGAAAGAAAACAAAGCACAGTCATGCATCCTTTTGGGTCTGACAAGTGGGCGTGCATGCAGATTCGTAGAGCGCCGGCACGATCCGGGCAAGCACATCTTCAGTTGACCAAGTTAGTGACAGTGTCTCCTCTTACGCGCTCAGGATGCGTGTGCAGCTGAGTGCCCCGACCATCGTGCAACCTGGGCTGCGCTTAGAGGAGAACTTTTATGTCCTTTCTCAGTCATGGCCTACCCCGCTGAAGGGTCACAAAATTCAATGTCTGTATGGCAACGATGTGACCCACCTCAACAAAGCGATGATGTGTCTTGCAGCTCATGCTGCCTGCAACGCTTTTGAGCATCTTTGGAGCCAGGACAGGGGTTGCTGTTGCACCTTGAGAAATTCAAGGATGCCAAATCCATCCAAATCCCAAATGCCTGCGTGAGAATCATGATCCGAACACCAAGAATAATCTGATTCCTATCCCAGGGATGTCAACCGATCGTGGGGTGCTGGTTCAATCATGTTCTAACCCTCTAATCCAAGAGGCCTCTCGTTTCTCTGGCGCTGCCCTTGTAGACATAGTTTGCCATTCCCAGAACGGTGTTGTCGTCGTAGTCGTAGTTCTGCGTTGGTAGTCTAAGCAATGTCTGGAATCAGGATTGCTCTCCAAAACTGTGCATGTCTCAGGGTCCCCTAATCTGTATATTATATACAGTATCTGAGGTTTTCCGATTTCCTGGAAAATTAACAAATGTATTGAACTGCTGAATTAATCTTCAAGAATCGATTCAACATCATGAAGGCGCCAAGAGGAACACCCAGCCAAGACTGCATGTGCACGGCGGAGTTGGATGACCGGTCTGTTTCGCTTGCGCTCTCAGCAGTCCCCCAATCCACGAGCCCCTCACTGACCCAACTCGCTGCTGAGTACGTTCTGCCCACGGGTTCTGTAGCACGAAGGGTTAAAATGACTAGAAGGGTGGAGGTTGCATCACAAGTCTCTCTTCAGCAAATGATCTGCCTCTGACAAGCCCAAAGCCTACAGGCCTATAGATCCTATAGTCATCTCTCATACTTATACAGCATTCTCGTCTACAATACTATCTAGCCTTCTGACAGCCCTCACATACCCCCTCAGCACCATCAACCCAAGAACCCCCCAGATGAACCGCCGGATCGTGCCGTCTCCTCGGGTCGTGGGGAGGAAGGCTTCGAACTCATGAAGATGCCATCGTCAGACTCCAGCTCCACGTTGGCATTCAAAGGCATGTGCAGTTCCTGAGGCGCGGAGGCGGAAGGAAACCCTCATTTTCAATATGGGCCTCTACTACTGCCTCTACTCTAAGAGCCTCCTGGCCAAAAAGGCCTCTAACCAACTATAGAATCGAATCTATATCATACAACCTACAGCCACAGTCAGGTGTTCGTCCTTAAATTCCATTCTATTCTATTCTATTCAGTTTCCTCTGGGGGATGCCATCTTTGCCGCGCATTCTCGGAATAAACCTTGCATGCTACCTTCACAACCTTCGAATGATTGCCCATTCGTGTGGGGTCGAGCCAAGGGGACAACAAACATCAAAAAATATGTTTGCAACACATCCTCTGAGGGGGTCTGACGAACCGGAACCACACAGAAGGCATGTAAGTGCGTACATGGTACTTAGTTGGGATCTTCTAGTTCTGACTAGGATGCTACCGGGATGGGGTGCAAAAGAAGCACTGATCTTGATGCTCCAAAACCATCCTGCAGGTGATTGTACCGCGACGTATCCACTGAGAACACTGAACCCTATAGCCTATAGAAACCATTAACTAAGTAGTGGCAGTATGCTTCCCGTCTGTCTCCATCCAACTCCTGGAATCATATTGCACGAAGAACGGCGTCTGCATCCAAGCCTCTGTTTCAGTCGGTTGGTAGGCTGTGTGAACCCCCCCCGCGGTTCCGGAGTGTGCTAAGGGTTGGCCATAGCCGTTGGCCTGGCCATAGGGGCTTTGGCCATAGGGGCTTTGGCCATAGGGGCTTTGGCCATAGGAGCCTTGGCCATAGGAGCTTTGGCCATAGGAGCTTTGGCCATAGGAATTGCTGACAGGGACCTGGCTCACAGGAACCTGGCCCCCCATGCCACCCAGGCTACCACCCATGCCGCCATTGTAGGCGCCATAGCCACCAAAGCTGCTGCCAAGATAGGGCGGCTTCGCCGCCTCCTCGCGCCAGGGCACGTCGGCAGGACGGAGCTTTCGAGTCACTTAGCGGTCCAACCATTTGGTGGTCACCGGTGGTTTGAAGTGTTGAGAAAAATTACCCCCTCGGCCTTTCGTTGCTTGAAAAAATAGCTTTCTTCGGAAAGCTCTCTTCAGAAAAATTACTTTGCTTCGAGTGATCCCCACCATGACATTTCAATCATTTGTCTTGATGCCATAGTGAGGAGCATGTTGCCATAGTCGTTAGATGTCGTTAGTATTGTAGTTCTCGATGTTGCTTGTGGGTCCTCGGGTTGTGTGCTGTGGTTGTGTGCTGTGTTGTGGTTGTGGTTGTGCTTGTGGTTGTGTGTTTGTGGTTGTGTTTGTGGTTGTGGTACTGGTTGTGATTGTGTGTTTGTAGTTGTGGTTGTGGTTGCGGTTGTGTCTTTGTGATTGTGTGTTTGTAGTTGTGGTTGTGGTTGTGTCTTTGTGATTGTGTGTTTGTAGTTGTGTTTGTGGTTGTGTGTTTGTGGATGTGTTTGTGGTTGTGTTTGTGCTGGTGGTAGTGGTTGTGATTATGTGTTTGTAGTTGTGGTTGTGGTTGTGGTTGTGTCTTTGTGATTATGTGTTTGTAATTGTGGTTGTGGTTGTGGTTGTGTCTTTGTGATTGTGTGTTTGTACTTGTGGTTGTGGTTGTGGGTTTGTGGTTGTGTTTGTGGTTGCGTGTTTGTGTGTTTGTGGTTGTGTGTTTGTGGTTGTGTGTTTGTGGTTGTG